AGACAATGTCATATGAAGGGATAAAGTTTTGGGTTTCAATACATAACAGTAAATGATCGATCTCATGTAAAAAAAGTATGAACCAGGTGTATAACCCTAATCTAAGCCTTAGGCTTTCAAAAGTAAACCCTTTCGGACAACAAACGAAAAAATATACCAGTACCAAACCCTTCATAAACGGACTTTTATCCTCTCTTGTTTTAGGATACTACCTTTGGCCATAAAAAAATTTTTCTTCTCTTTTTTTCCACTTTATACCTGAGAATTTAAGTATAAAAAATGCTACTTATAAAGCTTGGAAGTAAAAATGGACCATGACCCAAAGTTACAACCTTTCTATACATGTTTCTTTATTCATTCTTTCTAAACAAAAATCATGTTTATCTTTTTTAAACCAACTAGTGTTGATTATAAAAACAACATGAGAATCATATATTAGCTATTTAAGAAAAGTAAAGAAATTAACTTTTTTCAAACTTCACAGCGGTTGTTTTCATATTTTTAATAAGTTTCCTACCTTTTTTTTTAAAAAAAAAAACCTTAAACCGGCTTAGTCCCTTAGATTTTGTCATCCTTTCCAAATCCATTCTTTTTTTTTTTGTTTGTAAGCTGCCTCATCTTTTTTAGTATTCTTTTTTCTCCTCTTTTATGCCCGAATGCTTTCTCTTCAAGTTTCCTCTTTGTTTGTTTTTATCTTTCTACTTTTATCAGTTGTTTTGTCAACCACTAACCTTGTCATTTTCTTGCAGGAGGTTGGTACTTAGGTTTTTAACTTATCTCACACCGAGGATTTTCTTGCATTCTTTTTTCTTTTTTTTTTTGCCTTTGTTATTAAAGCCTTGTTTCATCAATTTTTTTATTACTTTTTCCTCATCACGTAAACCTTCCCTCTTTTCTATTATCTAATGAAAAACCTATGAAAATAAAAATTATACAAAATCCTTTTAAAAATCGAATGGCCCCTCCATTTTTTTTTATTTCATTTTGTTTTGGTCTTTTGTCTTTATGGTTTGGGTTTATACCAATTTTCCTCTGGACCAAATTGGGTTTTAGATCCAAGCCTTTGTTTTTGCTTGGGTTATATTATTTGGACTATCATTTAGGTTTAATCTTTTGGATCATTTTGGGCTCATACCTTGAATTTCTAAATGGGTCATTTTACAGACTTCAAATAGGGTTTCATTGGGCTTTTCTTTTTATCAACTCTAAGCCTTATTTGATGGTCAACTTAGGTTTTTAATCTGACTAAAAAATGAGACGTTTTAAAACTTATTCATTTTGATCTCCATTTTAATATTTCATAAAACAAGCACAATTTAATGGTATTAGATCATTCCGAACAAAATTCTGTGTCTACAAAAAGTTATCTTCATTTGAGTATAATTTCTATATATATGATTAATTAATTTATGTGTACAAAAGATATTAGTAAACTCATAGTATCAATCTAAAAATGACACCAACTAATTTTGTACCCTATCTAAATGATTTTTTTATTGTTAGTTAAATTTTCCATTACTAATAAACCTATTTAAATTTTTTAATTCAATTTTTTTTTCATGCAAAAATCTTTAAAAATAATTTTTGATAAAGTATTTTTAACGAAAAAAATGTAGTGCTTTTTTTTTTTTTTTTCAAAATTCTTTAAAGCCAACTATTACCAATCTTGATTAATTTTAAGTTTCAAATAGACCTAGCAATTATAAACATGATATGATGACACGATAAGACACCACATTATTCATATCGTATTTGTGTCAAACAACGATGACAAACTTAAAATACGATATTATTTATACAAACATATATAACATATAAACTATAAAAGTTATTTTAACTTATTTTTTAAATAAATTAATAATCGTATTTATCATATCATTTCAATGTTTAAATAAATTATAAATATTTAATTTTTAAATATTTTTTATTTAAATTCTAATTTAAATGATTTTTTGTTTAAATAATTATATTATTCGTGTTTAATTATATTTTTAACTTTAAACATATTAATGGTATCATATCACATATAATATGTATAATAAATATATTATTTTTATATTTAAATTATTTAAATTATTTAAATATTTATATCAAAATTATTTATATGGTGTCTTAAATTATGTTCGACACCAAACACATATGCAAATTATCAAAATTGGTCTTCAACATAGTTAAATGGCAATTAATTGCCGTAGTAATTGAAAGGGAACGAATGACTTTGGCAAAAAGAGCTATCAACTCATATTTAATGAGTTTTTTTTCCTGTACTAAGGTGGATTGAAATTTTTATTCCTAAATTAGGGTTCTTTTAAACTTTTTTCTCTAAGTGGGATATTTAAACCACGTCATCATTATATCACTCCTTAGATGGGTAAAATTTCCAAATCGACTGAATTTTTCTTCTCAATAAAATTGCATTTAAAGCATTCAGCTCTGTCTTCAAATCATACAGAAGATTTTTCTCTTTCTCTTTGAACCAACATATTAACAATCATAAATAGGTTTTTTTACATACGCTCGATATGTGACTTGTAGTTGATACCGCTGAAAGTATGAACTAGGGGTAGTTTTAAACAATGAGGCAGCAGATACCGGCATAGGCGTGGCTTCCCTGAGTACTGGAAGCTGATATTTTTTCCCCTATTTCTTATACTTTGTGTTTCTTTGCTCTTCGTCTCACTCATCTCAGCCATAAGCTCTACATCTTGTTAAGAATCATCAATTCTTATAAATGCTACCACTTGGTTTTCGTTATTGACAGCTGTAGCTTCAATTAAAAAGGTTGTTACATATGACTAATTTTCCAACCTTTTGTTTTTATATGTTTGTCAGCTTAGTTAAAAATGTGTGTAGCTGCATCTGTAATATTGTACTATGAGTGTTGTGTGAAAAACACCTTGTAACTATTGTGTAAGTGTTGCGGGGAGTCTCTCTTGAGCGCTAGAAGCTTTTTTTGTATGTACTAAGGGTATTGTCTTCGCAATGTTTGATAAAATGGCTAAATGAATGTATAGCACATTATATTTGCAGTTTACTAATATGCTCAATGTTGAGAATTGTGTTATTTTTTGAAACCATATAAAATATGTAAAGTTAACAAAGATCAAGACTAACCAACATAAAATATCTCATAGTAGTGGTATTGAGGCTTCCTTTTTAAGGGATTTTACTTCAAAGAGTAGAATCAAAATCCTTTTCTAATAAAACAATTGCTTCAAAACTTGTTATCAATATTTGAGCATAAACTTCAGAACTTGCGTTTATACGGGTAGTCTGCTCAAATCTCCCAACATGTTTCAATTCACCATACTTCAATTATAGTCTCACTGAATTGAGTTTAAATATCGCTGCCTCCATTCTTCCCTTTTTTAGCATTTGCAATTTGAAATTGAACCAAAAAATTATTAAAAAAACCATTCCATCGTTTTTTTAAGGAAAAAAAAAAGAAGTGACAAAGAGCAAAAGATGGAACTATCATGTTCAATATCAGGTCATAAAGTTACTTAAACAAATGAAAGAAACTCCATAAAAGCAAGGTTCAATACAACACGCTTCGTCACCCTTATGATCAAATACTTAATAGATATAAAGAGAACATTTATATCTATTAAAATCTTGTTCAAACAGAGGACAAAATTAAAATTTCGGTCAAAATTTTCAATTGATCAATAGTTATCTCTTTCTCTAAAACCCAGATTTCGACTATCTCTTTCAGCCTCCAACCACCACCGGCCGTCACACTCCACCGTGACAACAACCCAATCCCTAATTTCTCTCCTCTCACTCTCCTAAACCCTTTAATCGACTTAGATTTTAGAAAAGCATCTTAAATGTTCTAACGTATCTGGCGAGTTGAAAGGTTTCAAATGAAGATTTTGATGGAAAAAGATTTGGAATTTTATGATTTTCTGGCATCTCTCCCATGATCTTGTGAAATTTTACCTCTTCGAATATTTGTTTGTAAAAGTTCCTCTGACCATGACATGGCATAAAATTTTTAAGGATATGACGTGTCATTGACATGGCATAAAATATCTTATTTAAGTAAATAAGTTAAAAGAATAAAAAATTAAAATACTCAATATGATGATTTGCCAATGGATTTATCAAAACATACCATTTAGTCAAAAATATATCATGTCATTTTTTTTTAATTTAATGATTAAAATATACGTGATAAACAAATAGATTTTCTTTAAAAATTTTAATTGTTTAATTTAAAATAAAAATTAAAATAATTTTTTAATTTAAAAATAAAATATTTGTTTTTGACAATTTGAAAACTTTATAAAATAGAAATAGATACTTTTAAAATTTTTTTCCTTTTTTTTCAAAATTTAAAATTTTATTACTTGTAAATTTATAAACCAAAATTTTAAAAATATTTTTTACAAATTAAAAATAAATTTTGAAAAATAAATTTTTATTTTTATAATAATTTGCAAAAAAATAAAAATAACAAAATGAAAAGTACTAAAATTAAACCAAAAAGTAATTAATTATCATTCGAATAAAATCTTAGTATTTTTTGTGTAAAACAATGAGATTTTGTTTTATTATATTTTTTCTGTATCACAATTAATGTTTGAATATAATTTTTTTAGTTCGACCATTTGTATTAATTAATTTTTAAAAGTATTTATTAAAATTTAATTATATAAGATATTTAAAATAATTAAAATGAAAATGAAAAAAAATCAAACTATCTTTTTTTTTTTAATGAAACCAAATAAAATCAAATTATCTTTAGAACAAAGAAAATATATCTTTAATTAAAAATTAGCCAATTTTTTCATAATAAGAAAAAAATTATGAGTAACCGGCTGCAAGTTTTATCATGCAGCCATGTTACAATTAGTTTGGATTATGTCATTCAAAAAAAAAAATTCATGTTTTTTTTTAAATAATAAATTATAATATTTAAAGAAAGTTGGTTGTAAGCATCTACAAAAGTAAGCAGATGTAGCTGATCACTGCTCTGCTTCAATGCTTAACTCCAGTTTCCCACCCAATTCCGAAATAACATTTTCTCACTTTTTCTTCCTGACTTTAGAAGCTTTGAGGGAAAATCCAAATAAAAAGTAACATAATTTTTCTCACCCAAAATCAAATAATCATCAAGAAAAGATGCCAATTGAAATGCCTAAAGGGCTGCCTTTCTCAGTGGACACATTCAGTCCATCTTCGAAGAGAAAGAGGCACCATTTCTTGACCCATGCTCATAAAGATCATACTTCTGGCATTTCCACTCATTTTTCTTATCGAATTTACTCTACCCATCTCACCAAATCCCTTGTTCTTCTACACTGCTCTCAGGTTTTGCCTTTTTTTTCATAGTTTTGAAGGAACTTATTTGTTTTTTTCTTTTTGTTTTCTGATTTTTTTTTTTTTTTTTGGGATCGGCAGCTTGATGATTCTTTGTTCGTGGGAATTGAAGTGGGGGAATCGGTTGTTATTGATGACCCAGATGGAGCATTTCATGTTACTGCTTTTGATGCTAATCATTGCCCTGGTAATTGATGCTTTAAAAAAAAATAACTGTTTTATTGATTTCTTGCTGTATTTTGTCATTTTCATATTGGTTTGTTATTTGGGGATTCTTTGTTGATCAGTTCTTTGGTTATTTTAAATTTGATAGTTATGATATGTTCTCTCATTCAAGCAAACAAATTATTACAAGATTCTGTTTGATTCTTTTTTTTTTTAATTTCAAAAAAAAAAAAAAAACAAGTCATCTATTGTGTTTGGATGCTAGAGTAAATTCTAGTTTTGATTATTAAAATTTAATTGCCTTGCTTACCAAAATCAAAATGTATGTTTGACTTTTATTTGAAACAATTATGTTACAATTGGTTTTATATTTGTCCATGTTCATTTTTAACCAATTATCATTTTGCTTTTTACCATTTGCTTTTGTTGTATAGCAAACTCTGAAAAATGTTACAAGTTAATAACAACAAGCATGTAGTAGTAATAATCAATGGGAATTTATAATGGGTTTCATCTTAAACTAAAAAAATATGCTTTGAAGAGGGTATTGATGTTTGCAATATTCCCCTTATGTTTTCAGTATAGTGTGTCATCTTGTTCATGATTATTACTCTAATTGGTTTTGTTGATGATAGAGAGTATTGGATTTCTAGAATCACAGACAATTCTCTTTGAATTAAAAGGAGAATCTCTTCATCACTTACTGATAAACTTTTCTATAAGAACTGATCAAAGCATCTGATCTGTTCACTTGATGGTATTCTTTTTTCTCTTATGAGATTTGCTTGTTGATTGTGTTTGACTTTTAGAAATTTAGACATTTGAAGCTGGTCCTTTCTCCTTTCAGGAGGAAGAAGTTTGGGGCGTGGGTTTGGTTTGGTAATTTTCTCTATGTTTTCAGCTGTATGCATGGCCTATTTGAGAAAAATCTATTGACAGATTGTGTGAACTTCAGGAGCAGTTATGTTCTTGTTTGAAGGCAGTTTTGGTAACATCTTGCATACTGGAGACTGTAGACTCACCCCTGAGTGCCTCCAAAATTTACCTGAGAAGTATATTAGCAGGAAAGGAAAAGAACCACGATGTCGTCTTGATTATGTTTTTCTAGACTGCACTTTTGGTACATTCTCTCGAAATCTACCCTGTAAGCATTCAGCAATTCGTCAGGTAGTCCTGTTTTTTAAGTAATGTTCATTTTCGTTATCTTGTCAATGTAGGTGTAATGGGATTTTAGAATGTAAGCAAGCATTCAGTAATTTGTCAGGTAGTCCGAGTCTTTTTTTTAGTAATGTTCGTCATCATTATCTTGTCAATGTAGGCCTAATTGGAGTTTAGAATGTTTTCAGTTTCTTTCATTTCTCATGAATGCATATACCAACTTAAGAAACATCACTAAGGTTGGTCTATCATAATGTTTTCTTTAGTCACTGGCATTTCAATGGTTTGTCTGTGCTGGGGGGGGAGGGGAGGGGACAATTCCTCTGCATCTTTTTGTTGTGAATTGTGATATATCTTAACTTAAAAGAAGGAAATAATTTGCATTGGATGTTAGAAATTGCTTTTATTAGTAAGGCACTGAAGCAGGAAGAAGTAAATGTAAGCAGGTAGTCTCTTTGTATTTATTTCTTAAAGAGTAAAAGAGTAATAAAAAAACTAGTACCGTTTAACCTAATTCCTTGACAAGCATGATATCATCGAGATAGATAGTGACAATATGTTTATAGCAAAATAATTGGGCTTTATTTAAAAATATTATTATAATGATTATCTTTTATTAGTTCTTTTATTGTTACTTGGATTAGTCTTAGTATGTAATAAGTTCTTGAGGTTCTGTTTATTTGTTGATATTGTTCTTATCTTCTGTTTGGCGTTTGTACAGGCTAACATATGCATGCCTGATGTTTAAGTTGATATAATATATATTTGTCATCCATGAATTAGGTTATCAATTGCATATGGAGGCACCCAAATGCACCCACGGTGTATCTGACCTGTGACCTTCTGGGTCAGGAAGAGATTCTGACCAGTGTGTCCAGAACCTTCGGGTCCAAGATATATGTTGATAAGGCAACCAATCCGGATTGTTTCCAATCACTGAAAACCATAGTTCCTCAAATCCTTTCGGAAGATCCATCTTCTCGTTTCCACGTTTTTCATGGTTTCCCTAAACTGTCTGAAAGAGCAACGGCAAAGCTTGCAGAGGCCCAAGCTAATTTTCAGCATGAGCCCCTCATTATACGACCTTCAGCAATGTGGTATGCTTGGGAGGAAGAGCATTCGGAAACAGATAGTCAAAGGAAGATAACATTGAATGAAGCAATAAAGGATCAGTTTGGTGTTTGGCATGTTTGTTACTCAATGCACTCATCTAGGGATGAACTAGAGTGGGCTCTGAAACTTCTTGCTCCTAAGAGAGTTGTGTCAACTACCCCCAGCTGTCGGGCTATGGAGTTGGATTATGTTAAGAAGCATTGTTTTGATTCCAAAATAAGTTCCAATGATCCTCTTTGGAAGCTTCTGGACATTGACGTGGAAGCTTGTCCACAAGTAAACTCACCTGTCAAAAGTGTAGCTTGTTCTCCCATGGTTGAAGGGCCCACCCAAACTTATGCAGAATCTGAACTGCAGCCTATTAACGTATCTACTTGCAAGAAAAAGCTCTTGACTTGGTCTCCTCCAAGCAAAAGGCTACCTGTAACACTGTTTGGTCCAGCAAGGCTTAGTCTCATTGATTCAAATTTTCCACATAAGGAAAAAATCATGTCTACAAGAGACAACCCTCTTTGTGTCGTCAATAAAATAAAGCAGGTATTCATAATCCAGGACACCAATGAAGACTCTGAGAATAGATTAGAAAACAAACTGGAGGCAGAAGATTCTGCACTGCAATGTAAGAAGTTGGTGAGAACGGAAACTTGTGAGAAAAGATTAGAAGACAAGCTAGATGCCAATGATACTTCTATGCAAAGTGAGGAGATGAGTTGGGATAATTATCATGAGTACAGATATGAAAACAAGCAGGTGGATGAGACTGCAATTCAATGCGAGCAGTTGACGAGAAAGGAAACTCGTAACAAGTGTTCTTACTCCATTGGATCTTCAAAGAGCTATAGTGACAGCTTTCGACACTTGTACAGGTCAATGAATGTGCCTGTGCCTAAACCTCTTCCCTCTTTGGTGGAGCTTAGGAATGCCAACAAACGGTCCAGGAGAGTTTAATTCTTTATGTCCTAGTAAGACACCATTCTACTGGCTTTCAATGCTTGCTTGCCTGGTGAAAATATTTGTTACTTGCAGAATGTTGCAGGTACTCATCACTGCCCAAAGTAACACTACACGTTAGAAGCAGGGCAAGCTCCCATGGGGTCACCATTGTTGTTACTCAAATTCTTTCCGCTTAGAATAAAGGGCGTATTATTTGTGATGATACTCCTGAATGTTATACTACAAAGTACAAACACGTGGTAGGCGAAACTACTCCCATACTGTTACTCGTTTTTTTTTTTTATGTTTTCCTATTGATGGAACAGACTTCTTAATAATGCTATGTTGTTATCTATACCCTCCCAGAAAATGTAATGTTGTTATTTTTTTATTAATTTGTAAAAGTATAAATGTACATTAGTTGTTGATTTTCATCTCTTCATCATAAGAAATCTTTTTTTTTTTTTTCTTTCAATTGATTTATCCAATGCAATAATAGGCTATGAATTAGGATGACCAAAGGAAATAAGTAACAATGAGCCACCGTTCAGCCCCAGATGCATCCACTTCAAAAACATATTATTTATAATTATTGTAGTATAACTCAAATTGAATGAGATTTATGAAAATTTTATATGGATCTCATGTTTATAAGTTGGGCGTCAAAATGACCCACCTTGGTGAAACAGTGTCTTTTCTTTGACAGTAACTGCAGTAGCATCAACGCACCTTGGTGAGACAATTCTTGAGTTGTGCCCTACTCTTTTAACAATCGGCATATTCAACTAAGAGATAGATAGCCATCAGGCATCAGCTCATCCAATAAGTTCCTTCAACTTTACCTTTCACTTATAATCCTTGTAAGCGCAGCATTGGTTGGTAGTACTATTATGTCAAAGTTATTGCTACAAAAGATTGCGCGGGGAGACGGGAAACTATGACTGCCAATGCTTCTTCCGTTGTCAATACCATCAACAGCTGCAGTACCATGACTAGTCTCCTGGTTTCCAAATATCTGCTTGGCTAATATTAAATCCGGAAAGCTTTTATGTTATACATTGAATTGGGATGCTACAAGCCTAGATTTTACAGTAGTTCCCTTCAGGTGGGGTGGACATTAACCAAACTAATTAATGAATGACACAAGTCTATTGCATTGATACTCTCACTCTCTTGCTGTTGTACGATATTTGTAACTAAAGGTGAGTTAGAACCATGTTATACCATGGAAATGGAAATTTAATGGTATAATGAATCATTGAAAGTGTGGAATTGAAGACTGGCTCACAATCTCTCATAGTTGAGCTTCTCAGACTGCAAGCAAGAAAATGATCCAAGCAACTGCTTTTACTATAAATGCTTCCAATTAAAAATGTGTTCAACCACCGTTTTACTTGAGCAGTTTCGTTATGTGTGAAGGTCAAAAGAATAACAGGGTCTGACAGATGAGTTGATTTAACTTAGCCAAGCCCATATGGTAACAACTACCAAGAGTTTTTGAGTCTAGGAAGGCATCAAGGTTATTGGATCTAGAAATGTCTGATTTTGAACCTTTATTACTTAACAGGTATTTAATTTGAATGCACTGTGGTAGCTTATTAATGGTATAGTTTTCTGACATGCTGTATATTTGGAGTGACCAATGAAACAAGCGGTTAACAGTACCTTGATAAGCATGTCCGTGGGAAGCCAAGCAGGTGCTGTTGGGATGCCAACCCATGCAACCTGTAAAATGGTCATATGCTTAGTCAGATTTAGCTTTAACTGCGCTATCTGCTTAAGTTCATAATGGATCAGAATCTGGCGAAATGGGATTGAACAGAGTTCAATTGTCAAAACTGGCAAAAACGGTAATTTGTCAAAATTGGCTTGAGCTTAAGAAGGAAAACTTCATAGACAAGGAAAATTAATTTACATGATTCTGGTAGAGAACTAGCCGTATGTTTTCTATAATCATTATAGTCTAACAAATGAAAGCGAACCGTGCCCAAACTTTTAATCAAGTGATTAAAAGCATTTGAGGAGACATTAAGAACTTAGTTTCAAATTAAACCTTTTAATTTTCACTTACTTGTATTAAGATTTTACCCTCTTAATGTAATAAAATAAAATAAAAAGTGAACCAAAGTAAAAAATGAAGGAAAATTTCCTACTAGTGCATATTCTCCGGTCTCAAAAATACGTAGATCCAGGACCTAAAATCATCAAGCAAGTTGCAAAAGATTTAATGGCCTCTGATGAGATGTCCTATAGAAAACACAAGGGGGGTGGGGGTGGGGGTGGGGGAAGATTTGGTACTCAATGTTCAAAATAGCACCTCACCACGGTCTTCGTGTATGTAGTCCAAGCCTTTGTAATAGGGGGGATGCCCTACAGGTAGATACTAAAACAAAATCAAACATGCCAGTATCCCTAATTTTGTACTGATGCTAAGCAAAACTCGCTAGCTGAGGTGTATGTAGCTTATATATATTCATTTTGTGAAACAAAAAAAAAAAAGTTGTTACTCCCTTGTACTCTTTGTTTTACAGTAGGGGAAGAAGTTGCTGATGCGAGAACCCTATACCTGTTAGATATCATCTCTTTAGTGTAGTTATATGATCCAACTGAGGTGAGATCAGAGAGTTCTGTAAATTGCCTAAACAAAGCAAAATTTTCATACCTCAAAATAATCCCTCGTCCGTAAAAGTAATTTGGCAAGCAACCTAGTTACAGACTATCTTTATTTTGATCACAGTCCTTGATAAATGGTGTCTGCCTTTTGTGATATATACAGTAACATTGGAAAATGGATTTCCTCAATTTGGAGTTAGGTTTCCAGGAAAACTACTGGGTGGAAAAAGATTGCTTGAGGGAACACCTATATAATCTCAGATTAATTAGACTTGAGACACATGAAATTGAATATATAGTTTGTAAAAACAGACTCGATGATATTTTCTTTTTTAAGGGTCCAATTGATTGAAGAAGCCATCAGCCTATATATATTGAAGAGAAATACCATTCATGTGCTATAGAGGAAACTCATCTAGTGTGGTGTCAAAAATGGTTTAAGGTCTCTGCATCCAATTTCTTACACTTTTGTATCCTCTACCTCCTAGTATTAATTAAGCTAAATGCTCAATTAAGATTAAATATTTGAATAGTTGCTCAATTCAAGATTAAATATTTTAATTTGTACAAATAAAAATTAAATATTATTAACTTATAACAATATAAGATTTTTTTAATGAAAACTATACTATAAATAATATACGTTGTTAAAAGCTCATGTGAAATAACAAATAAAATTAAATTTTTCTCACGAAATGACAAATAAAAAGGCTCTTGCCTTTTTTTCATTTCATTTCTTTTCTTCTTTATCAAATTCAAAGAACTTAAAGTTTATGAACTATAAGTATGTAAGTCTACAAAATGGATTATTTAGTAAGCACCCAATTAAAGCCTCTATGTTGCTGATTAGGGCTACCTTAATATATTTTTTGCTTGTCTAGTCATTTCTTGTTTTGGGTTCTTCACTAGTGAATCTAAGCGGGAGTTGCAAATGGTCTACTAAAATTTAGCTTGATTAAAATCAAGTTTATTACTAGTTTTTAATCTCTTATTGTTTTCTCCTTCCAAATGATCTAAATGGGGGTCTAGTTGAGTAAAAAGATAAAGAAAGAAATGGAATAAAATTGATGTGAAATTGAAGTGGAAGATACTATGGATAATACATCAATTTAGGTAAAGCCAAAAGGATTTTGTTTAAGCTTAAAGTCATTGATAAATGGATTAAGATAAAAAGAAAAACCAGATTGATAAGAGAAATAGTGAAATAGATTCATAAAGATAAAAATTTTTGTTTTATGGTAAAAATTCTTGAAGCAATCTCTATGAAGAGCAACATATTACTATTTATTAAAAGAAATTACAGTTTGCTTGATTGTTGGAAATATATAGAGCAGCAGGAAAAGTTGTTCTTTTTTTGTTTGTCAGGAAATTAAAATAAGAAGAGAGACAAAGAGAGAATGGTGTTGCAAATCTAACCTCAAAACATATTAGAGCAGAGACAAAGACTCAAAACTGACAACATCAAGCAGTGAACAGCTCCCATTTGACTCCCACATTCCTTCCTATTTTTGCTTTTGGCCAATCTGGAAACTAGCAACAACCACACTATGTATAGAAACAACCACAGTCGCAGCAATAAATTAATCTATTACACTGACAACAACTACTGCAACAAGTTGTTCAACAACTTGAGGTTCCAAGGCTTATTGCTTTAGGAAATCTACGATCTCAAGCACCAAGATTAAGAAAGAGGTAAACGACTAGGCCCTGTTTTTTGGGGTTCATTTTTCTTTTTTTTTTTTTTTGTTCAAAAGATTGAATCATATGCCATGAAATAGCAGTCAGTATAAAGTGCCAGATCAACTAACTTTTAAGTTTTTTATGTGTTGTTACTACTTGTATCTTTCATAGTAAATTTCTTATTAAAAAATATTTTATGATGTTACAAGTATAATGCTTAATTTTTAATTATATAAATTAAAATGTTGAATTTTGATCATCCAAATGTTTCATCCCAAATTGAGAATTTAGCCTATTAATTATCAATGCAAACTTAAATTTGAGAAGATGTAATGCAACAATAAGAAGAAAAGAACCAAAGCTTAACCTAATTGATTTGTGTAGCTATTTTTAATAGACAACGTTTAATAAATTTGAATTCAAATACCATTTTATGCAATCTTTTTTTTATTGACCTCCTGTGTACTTCAAAAAAATAAAAAAACACCCATAGCAAAATTTATCTCCTTTCCACTTACATTAATACTGTTGAGATACTTATCTTTGTCCACCCTCACAATCTGACCTTTCTTCACTGCCCAAAAAACCACGAAATAATTACATCATTTCAAACCCAAGCAATTTACATCTTAGTAAACCATAATTGAAGGAAGTTTCGGAGAGACTCACTGGAATGCACAGGCTTTTTGGAAAATGGCTTAGTAGCTGTGCTTTGAGGTTGAGCATTGCTAGACCCTTCAGCTTTTTTGGTCTGTGTAGTAGCAGTAGTAGCAGTAGAAGTGGCAGCCTTTTCTTTTTCAGGTTCAACAGCAGCTTTTATGAGTGTAATTGATGAAAACCGAAGATGGTTTCTTCTTGTTAAGGATTGTGGGAATGAAGAGAGGCATGAGAAAGAGTTGTGAGAGAGAGCACCAGCAGAGAATGCCATGGAAACTGGACTCCTTCAACGGCGAGAGGTGAAGATGAATAGGTGATGATGCTTGTTCATCTTCTAATTTCTAACGGCCAGATTTCCAAAGACAAACATCCGTTGGTTCCTGGCAGAGGGAATTCTTTTTTTTTTAAACAAAGTACTGTAATTTAAAAAATTATTCATTAGTTTTGTATTCTTGTTTATTTATATATATTTATATTTATATTTATATACTAATTTTAAGCAAGTGCATAGTGCACATATAAATTTTATCTTTAAAATAATAATAATAATAATAATAATAAAATGCTAATAGTTTAATTTTGATTTTGATATATATAAGTAAAATTTGGATAATTTTTAATATAATTTTGATTTTGATAACATTTGATATGTTTTAATAATCTCTATTAAAAGTTTCATAACCTTTAATAAAATTTTGGTAACTTTTTTTCATAATTTTTTATATTATTTTGATAACTTATGATATAATTTTTAATCATTGATATAAATTTGATAATTTTTTTTTATAAAATTTTGGTAACCTCTTAATGTAATTTTGGTAACTTTTCATATAATTTTAGTAATTTATAATATATTTTTGGTAATAATTGAAAAAAATTTTGTTATCATATATCTAATAATTGATTCCTATAGCAAAACATGAGTTTCATTCTAGTATAAGATAATTTGTTTTCATATAATAATATTATTATTTCATTCAAATTAAGAATTTTTTTAATGAATAGATCCATGATAGGTTTTTCTTTAACATCTCAAGATGAAAGTTTTGGTTTCCTTTTATTAGTAACTAAAGTTCAATCCTTAACAACTTCAAATATAAAAAAATTATTAACGATTGATAATTAAATTATTATTGATTTACTGTTATGTTGTCAATTATATACTATTAAATTATCAATGATTTACAATTAAATCATCAATAATTATTATTAATTTACTACTAAATTATTATTAATTTACTACTAATTTATGAATAATTATACTAAATTATTAATAATTTATTTTTAATTTATTGGTGATTTATTATAAAGTTATAATTTATTTACTCTAAATTTATCGATGATTTACTTTATAGTTATCAATGTTTAACTAATTTACTATTAAATTATCATTGATTTACAACTAAATCATTAATGATTTATTACTATTAAATTATCAATAATTTATTACTAAATTATTAATGATTTATTAATATATTATTATGCATTTACTACTATTATAACATTTATTTACTATTTAATTTTCAATTATTTAGTGTAAAATTATCACATATTTATATTAAATTATCTATAATTTACTGTCAATTTATCATTGATTTATATTAATTTATTCTTCATTTACTATTAAATTATTATTGATTAATTATTAAATTATCGATGATTTATTATTAAGTTATATTGATTTATTTTTAAGTTTTTAATGATTAACTACTAAATTATTATTAATTTATAACTAAGTTATTTATGACTTACTATTAAGTTTATTAATTAATTACTATTAAACTGAAATTTATTTTTTATTAAGTTATTATTAATTTATTACCAAGTTATCAATTATTAATTACTAAACTATTACTTATTTTTTATTAAGCTATCCTTAATTTACTAATATATTGTTATGCTTTTACAACTATAAAATTTTAAATTTTAAAAATTCACTCAAAATATATGAGATAATTTTTTTATATAATAATATTATTATTTCAATCAAACTAAGAATTTTTTACTAATTTTTTTTATTGAATAGGTTAATTGTAGATTTATCTTAACTCCCAGGATGAAAGTTTTGGTTTCATTTTTGCTAATAACCAAGATTAAATTTATGATAATTTTAAATATAAAAAAATTATCAATGATTGACAATTAAGTTATCATTAATTAACCACTATATTGTCAATAATTTACTATTAAGTTATCAATGATTTATTAACAAATTATCTATAATTTACTATTAACTTATGAATGATTTACCATTAAGTTATGAATGATTTATTATTAAAATATTGATAATTTACTACTAAGTTATTGATAATTTATTATAAAGTTATAACTGATTTACTATTAATTTATCAATTAATTTGTTATAAAGTTATCATTGATTAACTAATTTACTATTAAATTATTATTGATTTACAACTAAATTATTAGCAATTTATTATCACATTGTTTGTAATTTAGTATTAAGTTATCAATTTACTACTAAATTATCAATAATTCACTATTAAATCATCAATGATCTACTATTGAATTATTATGTCACTACAAGAAAATGAAAAAAAAGTTATAGTCTTTTAGTGATTTTTCACTTAAAAACACAACTAACTTATATATTCTTATAAAGGTCACGATGTTTTTTTATCAAAATATTATTAAATATTCAAATAACAATATTTGTACTATATACATCATTACAAACAAAATTTAGTGGTATTTAGCCACTAAAATGCTGTAAAATAAAATACAAAAATTAATTAAATATAAACATAATTTTTTTGGTGACTTTTTTTTATAAGAAATGTCGCTATATTGGCTCTTAAACTAAAAACACAACGTTTAAAAAATATTTAATGATATTTTAACTAATATACGTCGTTATTAGGAAGTAAATAGTATTGATTTAGAAAAAAAAAAAAGATGCTATTAAAAAAAGTAGTGGCATTTTTTAAGTAAATGCCGCTAAAAAGAAACAATTAATAGCATTTTTTTTAGATAAACGTCACTGATTTTCCTTCGAAATTGAAACTCAACCCTTTTTCTTCTCTATGCCCGATTTTCTTTTCTTTTCCAAGCTTTTTCTTTTCCTACAAACTCAAGCCATTTCTTTTTCCAGTTTGCCCTTCATCTCCATTTTCCTTCCATTTACAACAGTGGATTAAGGTTAGTAACAGAGTTCCTTTCATTTATACTAAATCTACTGTTTAATGGCAATGAGTACTTGATATGTTTTGTGTAATCTATTGATTAAAGCCATGTTTCAATATTTCTATACTAAAAAGTGCTGTATTAAAGAATAACACAATAGATGATAAATTTCTTTTATCAAAGTTTGAAAATGTGAATCAGGTCTGCAATATAAATCTATTAAAATCAATAATTAAAAAAATATAAAACTTTTTAATTAAGTTGATCCTTTCCAGATATATATATATATGGGACAGGTCGCATCTGACTGGGCTTAAAGTCAAGCCTGGTTAGTCCTGACAACGGGCCAATGCTGCCCCATAGACAATTGTCGCGCAACCCTTCAGTTTAAAGCCCAAAACAACAACGGTTTTGATGTTAAACTAACTTTGAAATAAATAACAAATAATAATAATAATAACGATAATAATGTAAAAACGCATTCAACATAAGCATAACATTAAAAAAAAAAAAATACATAAGCGTAGCAGAGAGCAGCATGAATCTGTATACTCTAGTCCGTACCCCTATGCCTAATTTTCCCCCTCTTCACTCAACTTCTTCTACCAGGTTCAGCGCCCGCTCTCTTAGCTCCCGTTATGATAAAATTCTTTTCAGTTACGCATTTTCTCAAACAGTTTATGTTTTCTTTCTTGTGGATATTTCATTTTTTGTTGTTTGGTTGCAGGGATAATGCAACTGAAAATGTTGCTATCGAGAGTCGTAATATTAACTTCTCGGTTAGTACGAGGCAGGGCAAAATGGCGCCAATTCTCAAGGATTGTTCAATTCGGATTCCTTCGGGACAGTTATGGATGCTTCTTGGTCCCAATGGCTGTGGTAAATCTACCTTTTGAAGGTACATTCAGTCTTAAAATTTCTTTTTCCCTATTAGAAAACCAATAAAGGTATTGATAATCTAAAACAGAAAATGCTACTTGGTCCACCTGGCGCAATAATGGATCAACTTCAATTTCCCTACGAATTTGTAGACTTCACCATTAAAATTTTTCAATAACTATTTGCGCCGATAAGAGAGTGCAAATAACTTAGAAAATAGCTGCTTTTGTGGTGGGCAACTAGCATTGCTCATCCAAGAAAAAGTGTGCTGCCATTATTGGTTTGATAAACTATTGGTTTTCTTTTCGTTCTGAAAATGTAGCCTGCATTATTATGAGCTGCCTATATTGTGAATCATGCAGATCTTGGCAGGTCTTTTGCCCCCAACAAATGGAAGTTTATTTATTCGGAGTCCAAAGAGTTATGTATTCCAAAATCCAGACCATCAGGTTGGTTCTTTTCCTTGGGAAAAACTATTTATATTATTATATGTTTTGGATTTTGTTCTTGAATTAGTTTGTTACATCTATACTTACAGTGGTTTGAGGTTTTGGGTTGCTTATCATGTGGATCTTATAATTATTCTAACCTAGATTTGACCATGGCATTGCAGAAAACATATTGGTGTTTTTAGATGGTTAAACATCACTATTTTTGTTCATATTTGGTAACTAAAACAAGAAGAAGTACGCTTAGTTACTCTTTTGTGACAAAGGAATGTAAACTATTTAGGAATTTCTAGTTTAAGCTGGAAGTGGTTTTAGACTTCTAAGGGTTAACTTAATTTCACTTGTTTGAAGCTTCTGTGATTGAGGGTGCACTTACTTGCAACTATTATAGAAGGCGTGTAGGTGTTTTGAGAAAGGTTATGGACTAGGAAGATATATTTAGGAAGATATATTTATATATTTTTCTTCCCATATCTACTTAATCTGAAGAATTTGGGATCAGTTTTTAATGGTACTTCAATCTATTGTACTTAGTTGGGTTTCAGCAGATACAAGAGGGCCATCCCATTCTATGCCAGCTACTGAACCTGTTGTACCGATTCTTATCTGATTTATTACAATGATAGCTTCTATAGTTCATGGAATTTTTTTTAAGTTTCTTTTCTGCTATTTCTAATTTCCTGCTTATCTTTTCCTTTGTTTGTCATCTGTTTTTTCTACTTAACTTTGTATTCTCTCTTTCATCAATATAAATCCCTCCTCCTTTAAAAAAAAAAAGGGTTTTTGAGATAGTTTCTCACTT